ATGGACAATCTTGAATTCTTCACACAGTTCTGTCATCATCTTGTTGTTCAAGTTCGAGCCATTATCAGTGATGATTCTGCTAGGCAAACCACACCGACATATAAGTTTATTCTTAATGAAGCGCACAACCACCTGCTTGGTAACATTGGCATTTGAAGCAACCTCCGCCCACTTGGTGAAGTAATCAATTGCTACCAAGATAAAACGATGTCCATTCGAAGCTTTGGGTTCTATCATCCCAATCATGTCAATACCCCACATAGAGAAAGGCCATGGGGAGGAAATCACATTGAGAAGTGTCAGAGGTACATGGACCTTGTCCGCATAAACCTGGCATTTATGGCACTTCTTTGCAAATTTGTAACAGTCGGATTCCATTGTCAGCCAATAATAACCTGCTCTTAGCATCTTTTTAGCCATCGAATATCCATTGGCATGAGTTCCAAATGAACCTTCATGAATCTCATGCATCAACATGTCTGCTTCGTGTCTATCCATGCATCTGAGCAAGACCATGTCATAATTTCTCTTGTACAACACATTTTCTCTGAGGAAGAAATTGCCTGCCAATCTTCTCAATGTCTTTCTATCTTTCTTCGACGCACCAATCGGGTATTCCTGAGTCTGAAGAAGATGCTTGATATCATAATACCAAGGTTTTTCATCTGCTACCTCCTCTGCTGTAAACATATGAGCCGGCCTATCCAGTCGTCGAACCGTAGTTCAGGGTATATCATTCCAAGTATTCACTTGGTACATAGAAGCCAGAGTTGCCAGAGCATCCGCCATTTGATTTTCATCTCTAGGAATGTGATGGAGTTCGACTTTATTAAAGAAGGGTAATAATCTTCTAGCATAGTCTTTGTAAGGGATCAAGCCGGGGTGACGAGTATCCCATTCTCCTTTAATCTGATTGATTACCAAAGCTGAATCTCCATACACATCTAGAATTTTAATTCTGAGATCAATAGCTTCTTCGAGACCCATGATGCAAGCCTCGTATTCGGCCATATTTTTAGTATAATCAAATGTTAACCTCGCGGTAAAGGGAATGCACGATCCATGAGGAGTGACAATCACAACACCAATTCCTTTACCATAAGCATTCACAGCTCCATCAAATATCATACTCCAACGAGATTCAGGGTCAGGACCGTCCTCAGGCAATGGTTCATCATAATCTTTAACTTTCAGGAACATCACATCCTTATCGGGGAATTCATATTCTACAGACTGGTGATCCTCCACTGGTTGGTGAGCAAGATAATCTACCAACACACTGCTTTTAATAGCTTTTTGAGTGCGGTATTCGATATCATATTCAGATAACAACATCTTCCAGCGAGCAATTCTCCCAGTAAGAGCAGGCTTTTTAAAAATGTACTTGATTGGATCCATTTTGGAGATCAACCAAGTAGTGTGATTCAACATATACTGTCGCAAACGCTTTTCTGCCCAGGCCAAAGCACAACATGTTTTTTCCAGCATGAAATACCGCGACTCACAATCAGTGAATTTTTTGCTGAGATAATAAATGGAGAACTCCTTCTTCCCTGTTTCATCCTGTTGTCCCAGAATACATCCCATGGATTTATCTAACACTGTCAGATACATAATCAACGATCTTCCTTCTACAGGAGGGAGAAATATAGGAGGTTCAAGCATATATTATTTAATACTTTCAAATGCCCTTTGGCAATCATCCGTCCACACACAACCTTTATCTTTCTTTAACAACTTAAAGATCAGTTCACATGTCGCAGTCATGTGGGAAATGAATATGGAAATATAATTCAAATGCCCGAGGAAACCTCTGACTTGCCTTTCAGTTCTTGGTGCTGGCATCTCTTGAATCACCTTGACTTTATCAGGGCCAACTTCAATTTCTTTCTGGCTAACAATGAAACCCAACAATTTCCCTGATCGGACACCGAAGGTACACTTATTTGGATTCAAGCGGAGACAATACTTCCTCAAACGCTGAAACAACTTCAACAAATCTTCTACATGCCCTTCTTCAGTCTGGGATTTGGCAATCATATCATCAACATATACTTCGATTTCCTTGTGCATCAGATCATGGAATATGGTTGTCATAGTCTTCTGGTACGTTGCACCAGCGTTCTTCAACCCGAAGGGCATCACTCTGTAACAGAATGTTCCCCAGGGTGTGATAAACATTGTTTTTTCCATATCCTCTGGAGCCATTCTTATTTGATTATACCCGGAAAATCCGTCCATGAATGAGAATACCTTAAATTTTGCTGTGTTGTCCACTAACATATCAATGTGTGGTAATGGAAAATCATCTTTTGGACTAGCTTTATTTAGATCTCTGTAATCTATGCACATGCGGACTTTTCCGTCTTTTTTCGGTACTGGGACAATATTGGAAATCCATTGAGGATACACCGATGTCACAAGAAAACCGGCATTAATCTGCTTTAGAACCTCCTCTTTGATTTTTACTACCATATCTGGGTGACTTGAACATTGATGTTCATCAACATTCAATGTTTATTTATTGATCAAGGTATCATGACCATGAGTAGCTAAGCATATTTTGTGTAAAGGTTAAAAGTAGTTAACCTAGACTTTATGTATTTCTTTTAATCATTTTGTATATGAACTTGGTTGAAGATTAATGCATGTTGAATATCTTTGTTATCATTGTTCTTTTTATGGTTTGAATCACTATTGAGAAGTAAGTTCCAAGCTTGACCTAAGATATTCATATACTAATAAACAAGCTCTAGACATAGATTTGTGAGTTAGTATTCACTTGTATCATGCTTTAAAGATTATCATCTTAATAGTTAGGTTGAGAGATCATTTAATGATTAACATGATAATACTCATAATATTGCTTAGACATGAGAAAAGTTGAGAGGATACATGAATGTATCGATCATTAATTAGTTCATATGCGTGATTAGTCTAATATATTTGGTATAGGTTGATGAAAACTAATCTTGACATGCCTTTTATCAAAATAAGCCTTTTCAAACAAAAACCTCTCTTTTGTCCAAATCACCATTGTGATACAGTGGCAGAACCGACTGTTATACTGGTTTTGCATTTGTATTCGTAAATGTCGCGGTAAGCAAGAGTCGCCACCGACTTTTATTTCATCCAACTAAGGAAAAGGAAAAAGAACAGAAAAAACCTTTTTCGAGATGTTTCTGAGTACGAGGGGTAGATTATAGAAAGGGAAGGTGTTAGCACCCTTTCTATCCATGGTTTTCCATGGGATTTTAGGTACTTGCTCATTTTTCAAATTGCTTGTCTGTGCTTGTTTTAAAAAGTTTTACTTCGTGATAACCCTTGTATCGGTCCTCAAGAGTGTGACGAAGTTGTTTTGAAAACTGTTTTTGAAAAGTGTTTGTGTGAAAATTTTGTTTGAGCAAGTACCTAGGAGCTAATCTACCTACTCAAAAAAAAAAGTCTGTTCGTTTTCCTTTAGACAGTGCTATCCTATTATTAAGGAATAGGTAGCACCGTCGTTGGAGTTTTAAGGGACGTTCGAAGGGACAAGTGCGATCACAAAAGCAATGTTAGGAAATTTTAATAATCATCCTAAAGCCTTGAAGATGTTTTTCCGAGGCAACATTTGAATGAGTCATTTTAGATCTTTTGGGACTAGAGGACGACCACTAACATTCCCTATACTTCATGACCGTTTACCGAAGGCAACCAGAGTGGACTAAACCCTAGGAGTGAGCATGTGCAAGTGTTTTTTTTCTAGTTTATTTATCTTTGCACATTTAGGGTTTTCTACTGTATTAATTGCAATTTGTCTTTCCATACAATCATATTAACATACATCTAACAACTTATAGTTTGCGGAAATTAAAATGCGAGAAACTAAAGTCCTAGCTATTACAAGGATTCCGCAGATACATAATTATTTTGACTGTAAATAAAGATGCGGAAATTTAAAACCCTAATTACTATTACAAACTCGGAGCAGTTACAATAATAGAAAAAAAGGAAAATTAAAGGCGCGTGCGGCGAATTAAATGCGAGAAATAATTGGAAAATCTAAAAATCTAATTGAGAAAATATTTAGGTTATTTTTTGAGAAAAATTAGGTTATGTACAACATTAAACCCTAATTCTAGTTGATTTTAATTATACAAAAAAAGGAATTAAATTGCCTTAATTTAATTAAACTAATTACTTAATAAAAATATTTTTATAAAAAAAAATGACTTTTGATGTTTTTTATGATTTTTTGATTAGATAAAAAAAGCATGATTTTTGGTGTTATTTGAAAAAAAGAAATAATTAATAAATAATAAAAAAGAATTGAAATAAAATAAAAAAAGAATAGAATTGGGCCTGTTTGATGAGCAATTAGGGGGGTGTATTTATGAATTTGGATGGGCCCAAGGTTGGTGGCCCAGAGCCTGCGCTTGATTCTGTGCAGCCACGTTTGGAGAATGCACCATGGTCTTTCCTTGGTTTGAGCGTTGGATATGTGTGATGATGGATCTCAGGGATGAGATCTGGGGCGCACGGTGGAAGCTAGGCTATGAGGCACGCTGGATCTGCAATTAAATGTTGAGAAAAATTGGATTCCTAAATTTGAAATGAAAATTATTTCACACTGCTCAGTCCATGATGAAAGGGAAACTCAATAGTCAGTAAAAATTGAGACGACACGCGCTTCACCCATTGACGGGTGAAATGTTGAAACCCTATATCTTTTCATTTCATGCTATTCTCACATTTTACAATATCGTTAATGGAGGTTCACAACGTGATTATACGGTTGAAATTCCTGATGAGTGCTTGGCTGGGATATTCCAATTTCTGGATCTAGAGATCGGAAAAGCTGCTCCGTTGTGTCGCGTCGGTGGTTACATGTCAAAGGAGAGAGTCGGCAGCGGCTTTCGCTAAACACAGAGGCGAAACTATTGGATCTTGTTCCTCCACTGTTCGCTCGGTTCAATTCGGTGTCGAAGATGGCCTTACGATGTAACCAGAAATCGATAAGCATGAATGATGATGCGATGATTCTGATCTCGCTTCGTTGTAAGAATCTCATGCGCTTGAAGTTGCGAGGGGGTAAGGAGATTACCGAGATTGGGATGTTGGGGCTTGCGAAGAATCGTGAGAATTTGAAGAAGCTTTCGATTGTTTCGTGTTTGTTCGATGTTAAGGGTGTTCATGTTGTTGTGTATACTAGTGATGTTATTGAGGAACTTTCTGTGAAGAGGATTAGAGGAGATAGCGATGAGGATGGTGAATTGGTTTATGGTAATGGTTATGGTTGTTCTTCATTGAAATCGATTTGTTGGAAGGAGCTTGGTAACGGGCAGAGTTTTATGTCGTTGATACTTGGTTCTAAGAAGCTTCAAACTCTGAAGTTGATTGGGTGTGTGGGAAATTGGGATTCAACCCTTGCGAATATGGGGAAATTGAGTACGCGGGCTGAGATTCATCTTGAGAAGGTTAGGTTTAGTGTCCAATTAAGTCTTTGCATTCAATTGTTCCTGCATGTTAACTTTGATTATATTTGAAGTGATTGTTTCTTGGTGCCTATCAATTTTGTTAGTTTTGAATATGGCCTTGAAACAATTGAATGTCTTTAATATTTTTTTATGTTACTGTAATTTATTATCATCTGTTTAGATGCATTCTAACTGATTTATCATTGATTCAATAATCTTTCTGCAATTCATTATCAACTTATTTATCAAACAAACTTTTAATGGGTACACACTATGTGTTTGTTGAAATGTTGCAGTGAATCTTATGTTAAGGCTTAATTCTTCATATGTTGCGGCTTTTCAGGTATTGGTTAGATGGTTCTGTGGTATACATTGTTGTCAAATACTCTCACCAGAGCTGCTCAAGTCATCACATCATAATTCTTTTTTATGACATGTTTGTTTTTTGTTTTGATGATAATGGAGAAATCACACATTTGTTGAATCGGTAGCATCATATCTTAATAATCAAACATCTGAAATATCTAAAATTATTAGATACTGATCTAAACCTTGATTGTAAAATACATAATATCACTGTTGATGAAGTTGTTAAGACCGTTGTCGGTCCAAAATACGACGAATTCCACCAAGATCCTATCATGAAGAATTCACTCCATATATATCAATAGGGTACATGCTTCACATCTTCATTTATATGCATAAATAGTATATTATAAGGTTCATAGTTCCGGAGAAGATGAAAAGAATGAGACATTATCTTAAGCTTTTAACTCAAAATCGTTTATATGATTTTAGATCTAATTATCATAATACTATAGAAACAAAATCTTTATTAGGATATGATTCAAATATTTTAAATACAATATGATTCATTCTTATAGGAATTCATAGATGAAGATAAAGTTTATTTTTAAATACGATATTTTTACTTAAATTGAATTTGGTGGATTTAGATTCTCTTAAGTGTATCCCCTCAATTCAGATGAGCTAGATCCATGTTTGGTCATTTGAATGTCTTCTTTCATGCTTTAGTGTGAACCTAGCTTAATCATAGAACTTTGTTGTAACTGGTTATTTCTCTGTTAATTTGATAATTAAAGCCAAATTCAAGAGGAAGAATATATGAACATAAAAGAACAACTGCGGGGTGAAATTCTGAAGAAGCTCCGTCAATTGGAGAATGAATGCTCGGATATGACCTCACTAAATCGTGGCTTAGGAATAAATGTGGGGACAAGTCTTAGACCTTTACCCAATGAGGCAAGTTGTGTTATCTCTACCTCACTTTATACTTTAGATTATGTTTGGTGTTTCAGTACTATGCTACAACAATCTTTAGATACTATACTAAGCATATAACATGCCGTCATTAAACATATTAAAAAGGGAGAAGGGGATTGAAGCAAGTGCTACAAAATCAGAAATTCACTATATTTGAAATTTTATATATCCACATTTACATACAATTATATTTGAGTCCCCAAAATTGTTTAACACCTCATATCTTCTCCTTCTCAAGACTGAGTTCATTTTTAGTTAAACCTATTTGTCTGCTATTTATGATCCTGATATGAAGTGTCTTTTGTTACGGTATTTTATGCTTAACATTTTTATCTTTTGATCATCATTTTAGGTTCATGCTGCCTATAAACGGGCTATGTTTAAGTTCCATCAAGACCGTGCATCAAAAACCGACCTATGCGAGCATGTTAAGGCGAAGGAGAAGTGTAAGCTCATCTCATGCATGAAGGAGAAGTTTTGTAATACTTCATGGCACTGGATAAATTCCATCCTCAGAATGGATATGATTGGTGTTTTAATTTAAGCGCTTATATAATGCTTATTGTTTATTTTAAATGATGTTTCATTTTAAAATAAGCAAACAAGCAAAGACAATAAATCTCTTAAGAAAATCAAGCTTCAAATGCATTAAGTCTTCACAAAAATTGGATAGAGTAATAACTGTATACAGATGAATTCTTAATCACAGACAAAACACATAATCAAAATAACCTGCACAAAAAAAAAACCCAATGTCTTGGGATAAACTCCAAAAATTCCAGACAAAATAGCAATAGAAGTCACAAGGTTTCAAGGTAGGCCAAAGTCTCTACTCCTAAATCAAAGAAGTCCATAACTCCAAAATGCCAAGGATAGTAATCAAATAGTCCAAGTAACCTTAAAGTTTTTTAGTGTTCAAGTTGATTATTAAGTATATTCAAAAAGAAAATGAAAGTTCAAGTGAGCAAAATAAAAATGACATAAAGATAAATGTTCAAGTGAGTAAAGATGAAAATAACATGAAATGTAAATGATAAAATAAATGATGCTTAAAGTAAAACATGCAATAAAAGTATAAAAATAAAAGTCAATTGTTAATAAGTTAGAAATTAGAGGTTAGTTGAATGAACATCTTGAATCTTGCATTTGAAAACTCATTAGAAGATTGATAAAATCAAAGCCTCTCAATAACAAGTTTCATTTTCTTTTTGTCAAGTATATCATTCATTTCAAAATCTCAAGGCAACAATAAATGATCAACGATGTTTAAATGATTCACTTAATCCAAAATTTATGATGATTCATTAGAGGATTGATAAGACCAAAGCCTCCTAACAATGAACCTCAAGTTTATTGAATTAAAGATTTCAAATAAAACGTACTTGAGTTTGCAAACATAAGTTTGGGCCACAAATGATCATTTCTCGAATCGGGACAAAATTTAGCACTATGTTAAACAATCGTAAGTGGACTTATATAAAAGTCACACCTATTTTAAGGCCCGCCAATAGCAATCTATGTGTCATATGTTTGGAGAGATGGTATGTAGATCATCTTCTAACAACATGTAGCACATGTAAGAAAAGGCTAAGATGAAGAGGGAGGAGAAATATTTGAAACAAAGGTTTTAATCAAACTATCATTAAAATCATCTCTCCATTTTGGTGGAGTTAAACTCAACATCCAAAATCCAATGATGTTAATGAAGTTTATAATCAACAATCACATAGCCAGAATATATTTTAAAAAATAAATTGCATTTAATGAACAAAATAAAAAGGAAAAATGATTTTTAGATTGTTTTTTAATGGAAATAAAAGGCAAAATAACAAACTATATTCAAAATATCAAATAAAAATTTAAAAAAGACCATAGAAAAATAAAAAATGATTTCAAATATTTTTATAAAATTTTTGGTAATTTTTTTAACACAAAAACATTTTTAAACTAATTAAAATCAATCAAATAAGTGAAAAAAAGATAAAAAAATAGTAGAAGTCAAAATAAAATCTTAGAAGAAATTCTGAAAATAAAAAATGAGGAATTTTTATAAAAAAATTTAGAATTTAAAAATATCAAAAGGTATTTTTAAATAATTAGAAACAAGTCAAATAAAGGAAAAATTATAAAAAAATATTAAATCTGAAAATAAAATCATGAAAAAATAAAAACCAGAAAGAGAATATTTAAAGATATTTTTGTGAATTTTTTTCAGAATTTTTAAGTCAGAAATGAATTTTCTATAATTTTTTGAAGTTTGTTGTAAAAAACAGAAAATAAAAATAAGTTTAAAAAAATGTGGACCATTGGATGAGAGTCAAAACACGCTAGTAATCAGATCCAAAGGACCAGACACAATGTGCATATCATGGTCAACTTTGGAAATTGCACTGGATCACCTTTTAATATTTAAAAATAACAAAAAATTTGGTGCATTGGATGTAGTCTGACTAATAGAAGAATCAGATCTAAGGGCTGAAGATGAGTTGTAGGAAATTGGATTCCCTTCAAAATGAGGATTGGCTGAAAAATTTCTGATAAAGTATGAGGAAGTTATGCTTGGTCAAAGTTTGGTTGACTTTTCCTAAGAAATCCTAATTTAGCAACTTTTGGGTTTTGATGAATTAGGAGCATTCCTTGAAGAATTATGATCAACCCTTGATCAAATGATGAATATCACTTCAAAATGTTTATGTTGAACAAAAATCTTGAAGTTTGACTGTATGTGGGCCACAGTTGACTTTTGACTTAATACAGTCGATTCTCAAGCATCTGAGCAGTTGACTGAGCAAACTTCTTGTGCAAGGCTTGAAATTTGACATGGAGGACCTTGAGAACATATTAGGACCATGAAGAGCATATGAAGTCTTTGAAGTTCACCCATCTTGATGAAAATGGAAACCCTAATTGGAGGTTCATTGCTTTAGGAGGGAGTTTGTCTGGTCAACTCTTGGGTATCCTTGAACAAGTTGTGGACCTCAATGGGCATATATTGAGTAAAATGAAAGGGCAAATTTTTGGGTACAACAGTGTGGGATCTGAACAAGGGTCAATTGGCTATCAAAAGATTGAGAAAATGAGTGAGGGATGATCCTTATTTATAACTGATCATGATGTAAGACTCAAGCGTGTGAATTGGAGGCAAAATCAATGAAATCGTGTGAACCTGCTAAGTGGGAAAAGTGTGACTTCACATGACTCAAAACGCAGCAAAATGAATGATTCAAGGGTCGTTTCTCATTATGGTCAGTTCCTAAACACGGTTAGAATGTAGTATGCACTGTAATATTCTGAATTCATATATATGTAAATGGAGAATCATATGGTTCAAAATTGTTATGGTTGAAAACTTCTAATCACATCAGCTGTGACCTGGCATATAATGTTTGAACATCTCTACATTAAAGAATTTTTGTAAAATTTATTAGGCTGAGATATAGAATTTTCAAATATTAAAAGTCTTGCCTCCACAACATATACTTTCATGGTTGTAAGTGAACACTTGTATTGTCTAAAATATCACCGATTAAATCTTCTGTTTAATATGCAACATTTATAAGAAATGAATCTTGTTAACCAAATGCGGTTGCCGCATATGGTTGAACCTTCCTTTCACACAAGTTATGACATGAATTTAACTCCGATTTAGTCGAAATAACATGCAAGCATTAATTAATATCTGAATCATGCAAGCTTTCAAGATGCCACAATTAAGGTTATGATGCAATATTGCAAGAAACAACATAACTAACAAAGAATACCCAACAGTAGCTTGGTACACCATATTTGACTGTGTGGTTGTGTCATGTCTTTGTTATGGGCCCAGGCGCTAAGTGAGGTCGAACAATTTCAGTTGATATGGGTCCATAAGCCATCAATGTGCTTTGCTTGGCAACAAACAAGTATTATTACTAATACTATTCATTCACATGTGAGTCTTCTTGTGTCTGTCAACCTTTTACAGCCAACCATTCATTCAAAAAAACACTACTCTTATCCATTCATTCACGTGCCATTGAGTCTTTTCTCCTTACTTTCAATTATTGCTATCTCTCAATCTTGATAGCTCTTAATCTCTTTCAAAATTCAGCCATTAGTTCCAAATATTCCTTACTTGCTGATTTGCTTAACAAAATCAAAACAACATGGCTGCAGCTGCAACTGTGATAGGAGGTGCTTTTCTCTCTGCAACTCTTCAAACCTTAGTTGAGAAACTTGCTTCAACCGAGTTTCTTGATTACATCAGAAACACCAAGCTCAATGTGACACTCTTGAGAAAGTTCCAAACAATCCTGCTCACTCTTCAGGTTGTGCTGGATGATGCAGAAGAGAAGCAGATCAGCACTCCTGCTGTCAAAAATTGGCTAGATGACCTGAAAGATGTTGTCTTAGATGCTGAGGATTTGATCAATCAAATAAGTTATGATTCCCTTCGGTGCAAGATGGAGAATAGACAAGTTGGAAACAGAACTAATAAGGTGTGGAACTCTCTTTCATCTCCTTTCAAAAACTTCTATAGAGATATCAATTCCCCATTGAAGATCATGTGTGAAACTCTTGAACCTTTTGCACAACACAAAGATACCCTTGGATTGCAAACAAAAAGTGCTAGAGTTTCTCGAAGACCACCTTCAAGTTCAGGGGTTAATGAATCTGTCATGGTTGGTAGGAATGATGATAAAAATACAATCATCAATATGCTTGTATCAGACTGCGGCACTAGCAAAAATAATAATTTAGGTGTTGTTGCAATTTTGGGCATGGGAGGTGTCGGAAAAACGACCCTTGCACAACTTGTTTACAATGATGAAAAAGTTGAAGAATATTTTGATTTCAAAGTCTGGGTTTGTGTATCAGAGGACTTCGATGTTGTGAGAGTAACCAAGTCTCTCCTTGAATCTGTTGTTAGAAATACAACATCTGCTGCTTCAAAGGTATGGGAAAGCGATAATCTTGATATTCTTCGAGTTGAATTAAAGAAAAATTCGAGGGAGAAAAGATTTTTGTTTGTGTTGGACGACTTGTGGAATGACAACTACAATGATTGGGATGAGCTAGTAAGTCCCCTCATTGATGGAAAACCCGGAAGTTCAGTGATTATAACAACTCGCCAACAAAAAGTTGCAGAGATGGCGAAGACATTTCCTATTTATAAATTAGACCCTCTATCAGACGAAGATTGTTGGTCTATACTCTCAAAACATGCATTGGGAAGTGATGAATGTGATGCCAGTAAAAACACAGCCCTTGAAGAGATAGGTAGGAAGATTGCAAGAAAGTGTGGAGGATTGCCAATAGCTGCTAAAACACTAGGAGGACTTCTACGTTCAAGGGTAGACACAATGGCGTGGACTGATATTTTGAACAGCAATGTATGGAACTTGCCAAATGATAATATTATGCCGGCTTTACATTTGAGTTACCAATATCTTCCATCTCATTTGAAAAGATGTTTTGCATATTGTTCAATTTTTCCAAAGGACTATCCACTTGATAGGAAGACATTGATTTTGTTGTGGATGGCAGAGGGCTTCCTTGACTATTCTCACGGGGGGAAATTGGTAGAGGAAGTAGGTGATGATTGCTTTTCTGAATTGTTGTCTAGATCCTTAATTCAACAATCAAATGATGGTGCTCGTGTGAAATTGTTTTACATGCATGACCTTATCAACGATTTAGCTACATCAGTATCTGAAAAAATTTGTTGTCGGTCTGAATTTGGTGACATCCCTGAAAACGTTCGTCATTTATCATATATTCAAGAAGACTATGATATTTTCGTGAAGTTTAGGCCTTTCTACAATTATAAATGCTTGCGAAGCTTCCTGCCCATTACTTCTAAGGGGTGGTCACACAGTTTCTTATCCGTCAAGGTGGTTGATGATCTGCTACCACTATTCAAAAGGTTACGCGTGTTATCGCTATCAAATTATACAAACATCACTAAGTTACCAGATTCTATTGGCAATTTAGTGCAGTTGCGGTATCTAGATCTTTCACACACTGATATCAAATGTTTGCCTGATACAGTATGTAACCTTTACAATTTGCAAACCTTGATTTTATTATATTGCGACTATTTCACTGAATTGCCAGTGCATATGGGAAACTTAATCAGTTTACGTCATCTTGATATAAGTAGGACTGGCATAAAAGAGTTGCCTATGGAAATTGGTGGACTAGAAAACCTCCAAACTTTGACTGTTTTTTTAGTGGGAAAGCGACATGAAGGGTTAAGTATCAAAGAGCTAGAGAAATTTCCAAACCTACAAGGAAAGTTTACCATAAAAAACCTACACAATGTTGTTGATGCAAAAGAGGCAGAAGAAGCCAACCTGAAAAACAAAGAGAAAATTGAGAAGTTAGAGTTGACATGGGGAAAACAAAGTGAAGATTCACTACAAGTGAAAGTTGTGCTTGAAATGTTGCAACCACCAATAAGCTTGAAGAGGCTAAAAATTAACTTGTACGGTGGGACAAGTTTTCCGAATTGGTTGGGAAATTCTTCGTTTTCTAACATGGTGTCCCTTGAAATTTGTAATTGTAAATATTGCATGACACTTCCACCGCTAGGCCAACTACCTTCTCTCAAGAAGCTGAGTATATCGGATTTGTTGTTATTGGAGACAATTGGCCCAGAGTTCTATTGTGTTGAGGAAGGAGAATGTTCCAATTCTACCTTCCAACCATTTCCTTCCCTTTGAGCATATGAAATTTTACAACATGCCAAATTGGAAGGATTGGATTTCCTTTGAAGGCATAAATTTAGCATTTCCAAAACTTAGAACTATGCAGTTAAGTAATTGTCCTGAACTAAGGGGAGATTTGCCTAGCCACCTTTCATGCATGGAAGAAATTAAAATAGGAGGTTGTTATAAGATATTGGAAACACCCCATACTTTGAATTGGCCATCGACAATCAAAAGAGTAAGAATTGAAGAAGATAGTTATGCTCAACATGCAGCTGCAGAAAGTTACCCAATGTTTATATCTAAAATGATCACGAGTAGTATTTGTCTTACTCACTTTGAACTCTATTGTATTCAGTCTCTCACTGCATTTCCCACAAATGGTCTACCTACTTCATTGCAGTCACTTTATATTGATGGGTGTAGGAAGTTATCCTTCATGCCTTTCGAAACATTTCAAAATTACACGTCACTCGTGAATCTTGCTATATGGAATAGCTGTGATTCACTTACATCATTTCCACTTGATGGTTTCCCCGCGCTCCAAACACTTACCGTTAAAGGTTGCACGAGTATGAATTCCATTTATATTTCCGAAAGTCCTTCACGTCGACAGTCAACCCTCCGATCACTTACAATCGGATCTCATGACTCAGATGAAACACTTAAACTCAATCTTGGGTTGGACACGCTCACCAATCTTGAACATTTGTATTTTCGGTGTTATGGAGAGTTGTCATTTTGTGAAGGAGTTTGTCTACCCTCCAAATTACAATCAATTGAGATTTCTTTTAAAGGAACAAATCTGCATGCAAAGGAATGGGGTCTCCAAGACCTAACCGCTCTTTCAAGATTGGCAATTCGAGAAAGGGGTGAAATGGAAAACACCTTGACGATGGAATCTTGTGAGAAAAGTCTTGATAAATGAGAGAGAAAATTTTGGGGTACAACACATGTCATGAATCATGGCATTACATATGACTAACTCTTTATATTTCAGGAAAAGATACAATCAAATTCTCACAAAATTCAAGCTATGAAGCCCAGATCCGACAGGATAATATCTTGATTTCTCCACCATATTGTGAAGCCCGGAGAACGACCGAATAACAGTATCAAAATACCGCGAAGCCTGGAATCGACCAGATAATGGTATCTCTTAAAAATAAGCTATGAAGCCCGGATTCAACTGGATAATAGTTTAATCGCCAGCAAGTTATTGTGAAGCCTGGAGAACGACCAGATAGCAATACAAAGACACCATGAAGCATGAAATCGACCAGATAGTGGTATATCATAAACACAAGTCGTGAAGCCCGGAAATCGACCGGATAGCAGCTTAACAAGTTATTGTGAAGTCTGGATTACGACCAGATAACAATACAGGACACCATGAAACCTGGACTCGACCAGATAATGGTATAAGACATTGTGAAGCCTGGATTACGACCAGATAGCAGCCAAGAATAGTACGAAGCCTGGAGTCGACCAGATAGTGATATATCTTTAATGCAAGTTATGAAGCCCGGATTCGACCGGATAATATCTTGATTTCTACGAACGCCATGAAGACTGGATTCGACCGGATAATATCTTGATTTCTCCGAATGCCATGAAGACTGGATTCGAGCAGATAATGGTATAAGACATCGTGAAACCTGGATTACGACCAAATAGCGGTAAAAGACACTGAAGCCTGGATTACGACCAGATAACAGTAAGGGACGCTGCGAAGCTTGGATTTCGACCAAATAGCAGTCTACCCGGCTAATTACTATGAAGCCCGGAGTCGACCGAATATTAGTAGGCCTAAAAATCAAATGGAAGCCCGAATGTGACTGGATAACCACTTGATTTTCTTCTGAAGCCTGGAATACGACCAGATAAGAAGTAAGGTATTGTGAAGCCTGGAACCGACCAGATAGCAGTACAGGACACCATGAAGCCTGGATTCGACCAGATAATGGTATGAAACATCGTGAAGCTTGGATTACGATCAGATAGCGGTAAAAGACACTGAAGCCTGGATTATGACCAGATAATAGGAAAGGACACTACGAAGCTTGAATTTCGACCAAATAGCAGTTTACCTGGACAATTACTAAGAAGCCCGGAGTCGACCGGATATTAGTGTGCCCTAAATTCAAGTTGAAGCCCAGACGCGACCAGATAATAATTTAATTCCTTCTGAAGCCTGGATTACGACCAGATAAGAATTGAGATATTGCAAAGCCTGGATTACGACCGGATAGCAAGTTTAACCTCATCTCCCCAGTAAGTCACTGTAAAGCCTAGAGCACGACTAGATAGCAGTCGATCTTATCACTATGAAGCCTGGATCACGACCAGATAGTAGTTCATTTTCACCTCTTCGACCAAGAGACCATTCCCCAGTAGAATAACGGACGACCGAAGATCCTAAAATTCAACTTTCCTCAAGACAAAGAACAACATTCCCCAGCGAAGTCCTCTTCAACAACAGGTATGCAAGCTCTCGCAAAGGAATTTCTTATGCGATCGACACTCCTTCGGATGGCATCTTTAAGCCCATCCTCCGTCATCAATCTCTAAATGGTATCTATAAGCCCATTCCCGACATCACAAGACAAGTACCACTTCATGCGAGTGCAAATTTCTTGGGCACTCTAGTGTTCAATCATCTTCCACCTTCGGATCACGAAAGGCAAACAAGCCAATCTACATCCTCAGGTTTAAGAAGATTGAACAGGGGCAGCTTTTGTACCCCAAAATTTTCCCTCTCATATTTCTCAAAAAATTTCAAGTGAAGTCCTCAAATTGCTCAAGGAAGTCCAAGGGTTGACCAGACAAACTCTCTCCTAAGGCAGTCTACCTCAAATTAGGGTTTCATGTTGCATCAAGATACTTGAGTCCAAGGGATCCCAAATGCTCACTATTTTCCTAATATCTTCTCAAGATCATCCATGTCAAGTTTCAAGCCTTGCAGAGGAAGTTTGCTCAATCAATTGCTCAAAGGCCTGAAAATTGACAGTGTTAGGGCAAAAGTCAACTGTGGCCCACATACAGTTAAACTTCAAGAATTTTGATCAACATCCTCATTTTGAAGTATTATTCATCATTTGATCAAGGGTTGATCATGATTCCTCAAGGATTGCTCACAATTCATCAAAACCCAAAAGTTGCTAAATTAGGGTTTTATAGGAAAAGTCAACTCAACTTTGACCAAGCATAACTTTCTCATACTTTATCAATAATGACCCATCCAAAGCTCATTTTTAAGAGGATGCAATTCTATATAATTCATCTTCAGCTCCCAAGTTCAAAATATGCACTCACAAGAAGTTATGAATTTGGACATTATAGGTCACTTTGAAAAGTCAACAAAATACATTTTTTGTCAAAGCTTCATACATGAACATGGAAGACTCAATTGAGATGAGACCAACAGGGTTGCTTAGAGGACATCTCAAGCTTTCTAAAAAGTCCAAGAACACCCTCATAGAGTCAAAATTGAGGAAGTTATGCATTGGTGAAGTTGACCTTTTTTGCAAAATTGCCAAAAGTCAAATATGCCTCAAATTGCAATTTTTGTCAAATGGGCCCAACTTTTTGTGCTTGTATTGAGTTTGTGACATGGTCCACGACCCATGATCTTTCCCACTTGCCTTTATTTTATTTTTGTCATTTATTTTGATTTTTATTTCAATTAAATCAAATTAAATCAAAATAAAATCATGAAAATATCAAAATCATTTAAACCTTGAGATTTTGTGCACATTTCAGGTCCATGAATAGCTGGCAAGGGAATCAAATCGTGCAAGGCTTGTTTGCACACAAAAATATTGAGTTTTGCTTGATTTAGAAAGATTTGAATAAGAATCAAATCATGGATCAAATCTTCATAATGGCAAAGATTTGGAGAAAGTTTGTAAACCTAATTCACTCAAGGACATATATAGAACAAATTCAGACCAAATGCACAGGGTTTGGAGGCGTGTAGAGTGAAGAACAACTTTCGAAAATAAAAAAAAAGTGGCAATCTGATTTCATAGTTCCAGGCTATCTCAAGCCTTCCAAGCTATCTCATTCGCTTCCTGGGCATTCAAGGACTCCATCCCAATCCTTAGCAAGCATTTTCGTGCAGGAAAACTCACTGTAAGCGCCTCACGATACCCTTACCTTCTTGAAACCGAATCTCATGAATTTGGCATTTGTAGCATGAATTATTTATATATTCTTGTTCCTTAGAGCATTTGCAAGCTAATGGTAACAATTAATTGCATTTTTGCTAACCATACAGAGATCCACCATTGTTAGGGTTTAGGTTTCGTTTTTAGGGTTTTTTATTACAGGTAAAATTGGACCAAAAGAGGGATGCCATGGTGCTCACAAGGTCAAAACGAATTGATATGTACCTTTGGTTTTCATTTATGATGCTTGTGTGAGATTTTGGAAATCACAGGGGCTATAGCTACAGACTGTGTCCGTAGGTAAAAGTCTTGGACTTTTTCCAACGGAGAGAGGAAGAAGAAGGGTGGTGTGGCACCCCCTGACTGGCCCATTTGAAATTCGCGCATTTTACAATATTGCTTTGCTTGTTTCCAATATAACAAAACACACTTTCAAACAAAGCAAGTGATCTAGCAAGCAACTAAGAGCCCGTAGATAACTATGGATGAAAATGGTGCTAACACATTCCATTTTCATAATTTACCCCCTAAACTCAAGAAATAATCTCAAAGGACTTTCCTGTTCTTTTCCACCTTTCCTTTAGGATAAAAGAAAAGTCGGTGGCGACTCTTGCTAACCGTAACAATTGCGATCAAACGCAAAATATCCCAAGTCAATTCTCCCACCGTTTTACACATCGCCCAGAGAAAATTATGAAGAAAGGGTGGATTTTTTGTGTTCGCTTTTGTAATGTTTCGCCCCTGGATCGCCTGGCGAAAAAAGGATCGCCCAGAGAAGCATCCTTGTCTCCCGGTGGTGATAAATACTTTCCTACTTGTGTTTCACGCATAGCTGGTCACGTGTGGCATCTAGCTAGCGTCGCTCGGCGATGCTTTATGGTTGTCCGACGATGGTGTGCAGATGGACATACTTTTTTGACTACTTTTGCCATATTTTGGAAAAACTTTTCACCAAATTTTGTACTTGGGAGGGAAGAAAAACACGATTAAGGGAATAGAAACCCTTGTTCTACATATCATAACAAAAAAACCCTTGTTCTTATTTTTTTGAGGAGAAAAACATTCTTGCATCTTGAATCAAGGAGACTTGAACATTGATGTTCATCAATATTCAATGTTCATTTATTGATCAAGGTATCATGACCATGAGTAGCTAAACATATTTTGTGTCAAGGTTAGAAGTAGTTAACCTAGACTTTATGTATTTTTTTTAATCATTTTGTATATGAACTTGGTTGAAGATTAATACATGTTGAATATCTTTGTTATCATTATTCTTTTTATGGTTTGGATTATTATTGAGAAGTAAGTTCCAAGCTTGACCTAAGATATTCATCTACTAATAAACAAGCTCTAGACATAGATTTATAAGTTAGTATTCACTTGTATCATGCTTTAAAGATTATCATGTTAATAGTTAGGTTGAGAGATCATTTAATGATTAACATGATAATACTCACAATATTGCTTAGACATGAGAAATGTTGAGAGGATACGTGAATGTATCGATCATTAATTAGTTCATATGCGTGATTAATCGAATATATTTGGGATAGGTTGATAAAAACTGATCTGACCTGATCAGAAATGGACCGTCACGGCTGGCTCCGAGCAGAAAGCTTTAGAACGAAGTGGGGGGGGGGGGGAGGGTACCTGCAAGGCACTCCGATGCTGAAGTAAGTAGGAGTACGAGCAGATAATAGCAAGTGTAAGGTTAGAATGATGAATACCTGACCCTCTGGAAATAGAGGGTATTTAT